GGGGGAGGCCGGGCCCCCGCCCCGCCTCAGTCTCCCTCCTGGCAGCAGGGCACTGGAGGCTGCAGTACAGAACAAAGGGTGTCCGTGGGGACCCCCATAGATGGGGTGGAGGTGTGAGATACTGGAATGAGCAGAGGCTCCCTGCATGGGCCAGGGCAGAGGACATCAGCCCAGAACTTCAGAGACGCTGTGGGGAATCCACCAAGTAGATGGTGCCGTCCATGCTGCACTCACAGCCCAGGACCTGCTCAAGGGAAAGGGCCAACCGGGCAGACCTCGTCCCCTCTGGGGGCCCCAAATCTGGAGCTGTCTGGGAGGGGCCCTGACTGGTACCATCTAGGAGGCATGTGGGGCCTCGCTGCTCCCTCTCATCACAACGTCTCAACACCCCAAAGTCTCAGTGTGGCCAGACACCCTCCACAACTGCCCCACCCCAGGACAGCCAGCTGGACTGGGTAGATGACCCCACGGCCACGGTGCAGAGGGCGTGGTCTCGACCTCAGAGACAGGCTCTAGAAAGGGTCCGGCCTTCCAGGTCACTGAGCGGCCCTGGTGGGGTCTGCACCAGCAGTTTTTCGCCTCTCCTGCCCTCCCCACCCACATCTCTCACCCACAGGGAGGTGGGCAGCCCCAGTACCTGACAAGGCCAGACCAAAGGGCCTGGCAGCCCCCCAGAGGGCAGGGCAGGAAGTGAGTGCTGGAGCCAAAGATGGGCGAGCAGTGATGGAGAGCGGGTGTGAGTGTGTGGTGTGTGGGTGGCTGTGTGGACAGCCAGGGGCAGACAGGAAGGGGCTGGGTGACCACCTGGGCCTGGGAAAGGGTGGCCTTTAAGCCTCAAACCCTGGAAAGTGGCTAAAACTGTCTGTATGAACAGCCACACAACCCGAGGGGTGCCACCTACGTGGGACGCCATGCAGTCCACATTCCCAGGGCAGAGGTGGAGCTGAGGGGTGCTGGGCTCCGCCCCTCCAGGGTCCACCCTGCCTTTCCCACTCACCGGCCCAGCTCACCTTCAGCGCTGCTCTCAGGGCGGAGGCTCTTCTTGGCGACCTCGGCCAGTGCCCCAAAGCCCAGACCCACAGCCAGACCTGCAAGGAAGAGGGTGCGGGCCTCAGACGTAGGGGTCCAGGGCTGCCCACTCATCCAGCAGGCCAGAGCAGCAGCAGACATACTACAGCTCACAGGGACCCTCGCTGGCCCTCCAGCATTTTGAAAAGTGGGGGAAGGTGGAGTTGCACTTGTGTGGTTTGAAGGGAACATTCAGCTCCAGGTAGGTGTTTCCCATGAAAAAGCTTCTTGCACCCCTAACTTCCACCATCACCTTGGGGTTCCCAAACCACCCTGAAGTACCGTACGTTGGTAAACACACTGGGAAGGGCCTGGCACAGAAGAGCAGATGCACCAGAATGTCTGTGGGTCAGGATGTCCCTGCAACACCAGGCAGCCCTGGAGCTCAGCTGCTCAAATCTACACAGAGCCTCCGGGGCCTACGATTCTCAGGACCAGAAACAGCAGCGCAGCAGCGCGTGGCCGTCGGAGGTGGGGACTGCACCACTGTGTGAAGTAAAAGGTGTCCCCCGTCCCAGCCCACAGGGACTCACAGGCACTCAGGCTGCAGCCCCAGTCTGGCCCCCCTTGCCCTAGGGCAGCCAGCACTGGCAGTGGTCAGAGCACAATGGGTTCCAGGCCCTCTCTTCCTCTTTCATAATCTTCTATCAATAAATCAAGGTTCATTTAACACCTCATCTGTCCAAAACTCAATCACTGGTTGGTCCCAACTGCTCAGGAGAGCCTCCCTCTGTCCCTCAGAAGCCCAGCAGGTGTCATCAATGCCAAGAAGCCTCACTCTGGGCCTATTTCCTCTTATTTTATTCATTTTTAAAGATCCTTTGCCATGGGGCACATGTGCTTGCCAGAGATAGAGGGAAAGTGAGAAATCAACCCCGCCCCAGGGGGATAGCCACGCCACAATCCCTTCCCCATTCTCCTCTGGAGATTTTGAGCATGCACACACGTCCAGCATGTTTTCCAGGCCACCAGGTATGGGACTCAGACTCGTGGAATCGACCATGTGAGACCCAGCACATTAATCACCATGCCACCTGCTGGCCCCCCTCTTACTTTGAAAAAGAAGCACAACTTTTTACTATTATTGATCATAATAGAACATTCATGTGTGCACACATGTGGATGGGGAGGGAGTGGAACACCCTCAAGTCTTGTCAGGCCTCAGTCCCCTTCTCCAAATCTTCCCACTCCTCGGCATCTTGGGGATGTGTGTGACCACTCGGTGTGTTTCAGGCTGACAAGGAAGGGAGTCCAAACCCACGGCTGGCCACATGACTTCCAGCACAGTGCACAGTGGCTGGGCCTCTCTTTAAATCCAGTTCTAGCAAGCTTCCGAGGACAGGCACGTGGGTACCAGAGAGGAGTGAGACCATGTGGATGGGCACGCTGACCAACCAGAAGGGAGGATATCAAAACCACCCCGATGAGCCCCCCAGAGAG